GTACTCCTTTGTAATGTATAATTACCCTAACAACAAAATTCAGTGGTCTGTACCAGTTGACGRAAGGTAAATTAGTACACTAATTGAAATAGCGTGAAAGTAATAGACAGCAAATATTTAGTACACTGGAWCCTCTATTATCCGGTCATATTTGGGAAAATCCAGGTTACCGTTGAATAGGGGGGGGGGTGGGGGTCATATTTTATGGTGACATTGATGTACTTCTAAAAGTTAAAAACAGAAGTAAATCGCAGTATAACGAAGAATTATGGATGAATTTTTTGATTATTTACMTTGGCTTGACATAAAAACATGCTGTCATGTGATGAAGTATATAAATCGAATCGACGGAACAATTGCACAAAAGAGATATCTCTTTCATATTGGGAATTTCTTCGATTGAATTCTGTAAAGTTGCTTGGGACGTAATCGTGACGTCTTTGTTAGTGTKAAAGCATGACATACAGGAATCCTAGAAATAYAGGCATTTCTGTGCTTTGAGCTTCTGAAAACACAAWTTACATTAGATATAGGTGCGTGTTATACCACTAACTGTATTTTATTGTTTCTTATTGCTATAAATCTCTATTTTGATACAGTTTTAACTATGAGAATTTCTTGACCGCAAGTGGAATTCCGGTGGTTGGGTTTAATGCTGGAGACTTCAAGGGCCACTATTATAACCATCCACGGTAAGACGCTGCTCCCAGGACAAGGAAACTTTTCTCTCACGATGGTAGAAGTAGTGTGTTTTCATCGCACTTGGTACACGAAAATTCGTATAATGATTCTAATTTCACTTTGATTGTCATGATGACGTCATGCGCGACGTCCAAATATAGCATTAAACTCTAAAACTTTGATTTGAATTCCAAAAATTATCTAGATATTTTTTTTTTCAGTCATAACAATGCCTTTCAGTGAAAACTCCACCTTAATTCAAATTTCGCTAATTATCAATAATTTTTRAAACATTTGACACGCATTTGGATGACATTTTCACCAAATTGCATCGTGTTCATTGAAGAAAATTATAAGATAGGTTTTGGAAGCAAAACTAAAATTCTAGAATTTATTGCCATATTTGCGCATTGATTATGACGTCATCTTGTCAATCAAAGTCAAAGTAGAAGTGACAATTAAACTTTACTACCTCGGAACTATATTCGTGCCAAGTTTCGTTATATTTCCATCATGACGAATTTTGGTGTACCAAGTGGGAGTAAAACACACTACTTCTACCACCGTGAAAGAAAAGTTTCCTTCTCCTGCGAACTATCTTCATGCTAAGTAAGTTTCGTTACATTTGGATCACAGTACGAATCGGATGAGAGGACCTATATACCGACTGGGAGTAAAACCCAACACKTCTACTATCGTGAACGACATCAATCGACTTTTGCTGTTGTTTGTTCTTCTTCTGATCGTCTTCTTCTTCTTTTCAATATCTAAGGACATATATAACTAGTTTAACAAATTCCACAGCCGCATTTTGCTTTTTCAAACTTGACTAACCTGATTGTTACTAGCTGAATATTTTTTTAATTTCTGAAGAGCGAACAATGACTATGATCCGAAATTGAAAAAAAGTCGAAGATGAGGGAAAAATATAAATCCATTTCAGTGAAGAACACGAGCTTTTATAGTATTTATGTTTTCTTTACAGCTCTGGGAGCGTCACTGTTGTAGAAATCGACAGCTTAGAAGGAATCAATGTCTTCAAAAGAGAAAACACTCAGTCTTTTGAAGTAAGTCCTAATGGCATTCGCGGGAGAATCTTTTTGCGTTTAGATGAATCACGAGGTAAAACTCCCAGAATGGAATGCATCGACTGGTACTACAGCCAATCAGATGTCTACTGGTACGTGACTCGTGTCTTGCCGCCTTGTCCGTGCACTTATTGGCAAGCACGAAGAGATAGGCGTTTCTTTCTCTACAAATGGGAATGGCCGCGTGTTTGTTTCTACTCTTCTTTTCMCACACAATACGGCTGGGGTCAGGAGTGTTGCTACAAGTTCTTCACATGGCGCAGTTGGTGGTGGRGYTGGTGGTGGAGATCCTTTTTGGCTGTAGGGTACCCTGATGGCGGTWATGCTCACAGGTAGGTTGCTAAATWKTACGCCTGGCTAAACAATTACMGCATTTKCTWAGACTAAATCGAAGTTTTTGCATCATAATAGTGCTTTGATATGACAAAATAATATTT